CGGGCGGCTGGTGTACAGCGCCAGCACCCGGCCCCTGCGCGATTTCTACGGGGCGGCCCCCGAGGTGGCTGCCGACCTGGCCCTCCAGCTCCTCGCCGTCCTCCGCTCCATGGGCACCAACGACCTCAACTATTTCTTCTACTTCACCCATGTGGACGCTGGCACCTTCGGTGTGTTCAGCAACGGGCATCTGTTCATCCGGGATGCCAGCGCGCTGGGGATCATCGACAAGGAGGAAGGTACTCAGCAGGCTCCATGGCTCACGGGAGGGCTCAGCGAGGCAGGGGAAACAAATCTTTCACCTTCTACGCTCGGCTCTGATGATGATTTTTTTTTATTGTTTTTTTTTTGGACCAACCAAACATCGCTTGCTAAATTAAATAAGGAAAAGTCCACGGAGAGATTTGCCGAAAGCTGAAGCATTATCAGCAGCTCCTGCCCTCCTGGCGCTGAGTCGGAAAGGCGACAGGAGGTTCGTTTGTGCAGTCAGAGGTCTGGGGACTTAGGTCCTGCCTGGCCCTCTCTGTGGTTGGCAGCAGCGTTCAACCTGCACGGAGCTGAACGCTCTCATTTCAAGTCTCCCTAAATCACCTCTTTTAATTTTTTGCCACACAACTGTCAATATTTGCAAGTGGAAATTTCATAACTTCATTTGTTTCAAGTATTGGGTCAGATCAGACTCTTAGGTACATTTATCACGTTAACTAATAATCACAATTATTATAAAAATTATAACAAAAGAAAACCCCTTTCCTCATTTTTACATGACATCAAGAGTTAATGCTCACTTTTGACAGATTATATTGGTCTGCTCCTGGAAGCAGAGCTAGTCAAAGACTATTCCTCCAATAATTTAACAACTTCATTTTGAATGTTCAAATTTTCAGAGGGCCTTTGCTCAGCTCGCACATTCAGCTGAGCAGATCTCAAGTATTCAGAAGCAGCTGTCAGAGAATTTTCTGCCGGATTTCTTTTTCTTGTCCCAACAGCTATTATGGTTGACTTGACTCCAGCTAGATGAGCTGCTCCTGCAATTTTATGATTTTTGGGTAACATGGAAAAATTATAGGTTTGGCGCTTTGTGGTAGTTTTTGTAGGAACTCCACATTTCAGGTTAGTACCCTAGTTCTTCTCGCTTTTTCTGCACCAGTTTGACTTGGCAGACTCCTCTCCGCATCCCCTGTCAGGCAGTTCTGCAGAGCTCTGTCATTCAGAAAAATATACATATTTCAGGAGTGAGAAAACTGGCCCTTATACAGCTACAGCACAGCGTACTTTGTGGTGGAAGACAGCCGTATCCTTCAGGTAGCAGCAATCCCCATGTTAATACAGAGGTACAGACATATGTGATTATCCAGCATTTCGCTTCTAACAATGGGTTTAATTGTCTCTAACAGGGAGCCAGCTGATTGACGGCCAACAGAAGTATAAAGATATATTTAGCTGTTTGACTGTGGACTGCCGGTCTGCATTCGTGTCCTGTAACTCCATCAGAGAGCAGCACAGCCTTGTCATGGTGTGTCAGCAGCTTTTGCCCAAGCTCCTGAAGGGGAAATTCCTGCAACCCGTGCAGGAGAAAATAGACAGCTTCTTGCAGCACTGCGCCAACGGCCTCGCTGATGACCAGGGAGTCAACGAGGCGGTTGCAAAGCTGGCAGAGCTCCTGAAACCTCTACGGTCTTGCGATTCTCGTTTTGCCTACCGCTACCCTGACTGCAAATACAGTGACAAATACTGACGGCTTCGGAGAAGGGGTACCCCGGGAAGGACTGGGGCAGTGTCAGCCCCCTGCCAGCACGGGAAGCAAAAAGGAACCAGGGTAGCTGGAAAGAGCTGCACCAAATCTGGGGCTTCCTCTTCAAGGCGGAGGAGAAGGGAGCAGAGTGCACATGGGATTTATTGTTCATCTCCCAGAGATGCATTTGTTACATGGGATGTTAGACATGATGTAAGGCTTATGGATTATTAGCATTACTGTGAGTGATGGGGCTACAGGATTAATAAATCTTATTCACCTGTTTTGGCCTTGGGAGAGTTTTGCGTGCCCTCCATTAAAAAGAAACCCTCCGAAGGCAGCACACTCACAACTAGCTAGATGGAGGAGCTTTATTACGAAGAAAGTCCTTCTGATCAAGATGATATACACATATTGTGGGATGGGTGGAAGCATTTAAGACTTTCCTTATGGGGATTTTTAAATCATAAACTGAACTACCGGATCAGTTCCATACCATCACCCATCACAGGTCGCTTCTATAAAATGTTTAACTTTTATTACTTTTATGGCACACAGAACAGAAAGATGCAATCAACAGCATTAGAAAGCTGAAAGGCCTCATGTTTCTTGAGACTTAATTTCTCCCATCCCCAAATAGAATTACTTTTAGTCTTTCCCAGGTTGACTGGCAGTAACTGGAGACTAGAAAGGTTCTTGTTTTAAGATCAGGAAAAAATCCAGCTCTGGGATATGATGGTCCAGTAGATATTTTCACAGTTTTCTCTCTAACGAAAACTGAAGGAACCATTTAAATCAGAAAATTACCTTACTAGGAGCAACAACACAGGCAGAGGACGAGAGTCTAGTTTACCCTGAGCCTGGTAAGGCTTGCTGAACACTCAGTGCTCTGACATAGGTGCTGGGGCACCCCCCAAGAGCTGGGGAGGTCTAAGTCCTGACCAGCAAGAGGTGCAGCCATCCCCATCCCCTTCCCTGCCAAAGGAGGAATCAGTAAGCCAGTCCTCAAGGGAGTTAGTCAGGCACATAAAATGGGGGTTGGTGGACTCTTTTTTCACCGCAGTGGCCAACCCAGGGCAGACGCAGGTGTCTCATTTTGTGGGGGAAGGCTGTGAAAGTTGTAGAGTTACAAAACACAACTTTCTCACCCAGCGTCTGTCAGTCCCCACCCCGTGTGCTGCCCGTGGGGCAGCGGAGGCCCACACCAAACCTTTCCTGATGTGTAGGGGACTGCCCGGTCTCACCTGGGTTTGAGTCTTTCTCCTGGGGGCCAGGTGTGTGGGGGTCACCAAGCAAACTGGACTGAGCTGAGTCAGAAACTGGAGTTGCTGGATCCCCCATAAGCATTTTTATCATGGAAACAATCTTCCTTTAGCCATGGTTCAAAAAAGCAATCAGTAACAGCAACAAAGCAGAAGAAGGTGTGAGTGGATTTGCATTACGAAGCGTTGTACGGAGTTACAGGGAGCAG